CTTTCCCCATTTTCCTATTTTTATATATTTTAATAAGTGAACAGCCAGGCGCCGAAACAATGAAGGCAGGCGCATTTTAAGCGCTGAAATCGAGCGTACGCCACTTGGTTTTCTAGGTGGGATTTTAATCGAGCTCTTTTTCCTTTTTATTTTTGGGTCAATTATCCGTTTAGTGCCTAAAATATCAGTTTTAGTCTGTTTTAATATTTACTTTTTATTTTTCAAAATTATATCTAAAATTTAATTTTTATTTCATTTTAGTATCATATCTGCTACGGCTAAAAATCTTACTTTTTATATAATTTTAGTACCCATTTGAAAAAAATGAAAGTTTAGATACTAAAATATGCCAAAAATAATAGTTTAAGTACTAAACACGTTAAATATTTAATGGTGGATACTAAAATAAAATAAAAATTAAGATATAATTTTGAAAATAATTAAATTTTAAATACAAAAAATGAATCAACACAATTTAGGTACTAAATTAATAATTTACCATTTTATTTCTTGTCTGCCTAATCGAAAGACGCAGCGTAGGGTAAACACTAGAGACGAGGGTTTTGCAGGACATGTTGATGTCATCTCTTCCCCCTAAACACATCCAAAATAATTATTAATTATTTTCAGCCAATTAATTTTATTTTTAAAATGTTTCAAAAATAATTATATTTTAAATTTGATTAAAAAATAATTTGGTTATGAAGGATGGCGTACATTAAGCATTCTCTCTCGGTGCATGTTAGCAAGACTAACAGCCCCTAAACACATCCAAAATAATTATTAATTATTTTCAGCCAATTAATTCTGTTTTTAAAATGTTTCAAAATAATTATATTTTAAATTCGGTTAAAAAATAATTTGGTTATGAAGGATGGCGTACATTAAGCATTCTCTCTCGGTGCATGTTAGCATGACTAACAACGATTGAAGATGAGTCATCCTTCTTTCCTGATTTTCGATTGGATTGAATCTTTCTTGATTCTGCTTACGATTTGGGTTTTTTTAATGGCGATGCCTACGGGATCTACAATTGATTGGCGGAAATTGTTCGCGGCTGGTAATGAATAAGAATTAGATTTTTTTCTTCCATCATAGATTGAGGGTTCGCTTATTGTGAAACCTCTGAAGCACATATTTGAAGAGGGAATTTTAGAATGGAGATACGCTCTAGTTGGGCAATTTATAGGCTCAACTCCCAATTTTGGACTATTGCAAAAGACGATTGATCTGATGTGGAACAAGGCTGCTCCGGTGAAGGTAAGCATGGCAGGATCCAATCTTTTTGTTTTTTCTTTTACTGGTTCGTATGCCAGGGATTGGGTTTTAGAGAATGGTCCCTGGCATGTTCAGCTCAAACCTCTTTTCCTCAGAAAGTGGGAGTCGAATTTGAAGGAGCTACACTTCGAATTGGATCGTATGTCAATCTGGTTTTAGCTCTTCAATGTCCCTCTGGAATTATTCTCGAAGAGTGGGTTCAGCTATATTGCAAGTACAATTGGTAAGCCTTTACACATGAACTCTATTACAGCTTCTAGGGAGAGATTGGAGTTTGCTAGGGTTTGTATAAAAATTTATGTAAATTCTAAGATTCCGGATTACATAGATGTGTTGCTTTGCGATGATTCTATTACCCGAATCAAGGTTGTTGTTCATTGGCGACCTTCATCTTGTATGGAGTGTAAGAGATTTGGGCACTCGGTTAAATTCTGCCCTCTGGGAAAGAAGCAAGAATGGAGGGTTAAGCAAATTGTACATGAAACCAAACTGAATGATACTTTAAATAATAGTATAGTTGAGGTTGAGAGGCAAAATTCTATAGTAGCTCCTGAAGGTAGAATTCAAACTGAGCAGATTACTCTATGTAATACTGAAGGTGTTGTTGATGCTTGTTTAGACAGAGCTCGAGCTGCTACAGGGGATGGAACTAAGGGTGACACTAAGCAGACCACTAAAGAGGGTCATTCTGGAAGTAATCCCCCTTTGAAACGTGGAAGAGGTAGGCCAGGTAAAACTACTATGGGGGGCTCCAAAAATAAATTTGAGATTATGTCTTCCATTGATCTTGAACATTTGCAACCGGTTGAGGACTCAGATAAGAAGAAACGAGCAGCATCGTTTGGTGTGGCTAAGCTAGTCTAGGATTTAAAGTCAAAGAAGAAGGAGCAGGTTGACAAAGTTATGAAGCTGGAGGATAGAGGTGGTGCATCTTCTTCCCTAAACCCCTCATGTTAATTTCCTATTAGAATGTTCAAGGATTTAATAATCCTCGTAAGTAAGGTAAAGTGATGAGGTGGGTTGCCAATTGCCAAATTGATGTTCTCTGTTTATTGAAAACTAGAGTTAAGGTGGATAGCTATGTGACTATTCTAAATTGTAATTTTAGTGACTGAGAAGCATGTTGTAATTATAATCATGCTTCCAACGGTCGAATTTGGGTGCTTTGGCGTAGATATATGGATTGCTCAGTTGTTTATGTTTCTGACCAATGTATTTCTGTTAGATGTACTTTTGGGGTAACATTTTTATTCTTACTGCTGTTTATAGTTTGAATGAGGGAAATGGTATAAGGCAGTTATGGAGTCAACTTAATTCTCTGGAATGTACTGTGGGGGATCTTTTATGGCTAATAGGAGGTGACTTCAACGTCATCCTGAATGCTGAGGAAAGCTCGGTTTGTGTTAGTTCCACAACTTTAGCTGATATTTCTAAATTTCAGAATTGTGTGGAAATTTTTGGGGATTTTTTATCACCCCTACAATGGTCCTTGCTTCACTTGGTCAAATAAGCAGCATGATACTTATTTGGCTTGCAAGCTTGATCGTGTCATGGTAAACCCGAGGTGGATCGATATTTTTCCCGACTCTGCAGTGGAGTTTCAGGCATCTGGGGACTCGGATCACTGCCCTACTTTTGTGTGGCTTCACAAGGTAGCCCCTACTGCAAGGCCAAAGCCTTTCAAGTTTTTCAACTTTTGGGCCTTGCACCCAGGGTTTTTGAACATTGTGAGAGATTCCTGACAGCAACCAATGGTTGGAAATACAACTCAGGTTTTGTTCCAGAAATTGAAAAGGTTGAAGTGCTCTCTCAAGGCTTTTAATAGAGCATATTTCAACGACATTTCGAACAAGGTGAAACAGAAGAGAGGCGAAATTCTTAGCATTCAGCTTGCTAATCTTAATTGGGGTCCTATTGGCAGTAACATTAAGAACGAACTTCAAGCTGAAAAGGATCTCAAAAATCTCGAGGAAGCTGAGTTACTTTTTTACAAACAAAAAGCTAAAGCCAATTGGATTAAGGAGGGTGATCAGGGGACGAATTTATTCCATTCATTTGTGGCTAGCAGAAGAAAAAGTAACACAATCAGAGTTCTCTATGACCAATATGGGACTAGATTGGACTCTTTTGATGGAATTTCAACTGAGGTGATTAAGTTTTTTCAGAATCAGCTGGGGTTGGCAGATGGTAATGTGCAGGGCATCAATGTTTTTACTATTAGGGATCCCCTTAATTATTCTCTCCCTATATGTGTTGATCATGAGCTGTGCAAAGATGTTTCTGATGCTGAAATTAAGGAAGCTATTTGGGGGCAAGGAAATGGTAAATCCCCTGGGTCTGATGGCTTTAACCCATTCATCTACAAGAAAGCTTGGTCCATAGTGGGTGTGGATTTTATTGCTGCTATCAGGTATTACTTTGACAGATCATTTGTCCTTCATGTTTTTAATGCCACAGTTTTAGTCTTGGTTCTTAAGGTACCAAACCCTAGCTTAGTCAAGGACTTTAAGCTATATCATGTTGCACAGTGATCTATAAGACAATTACTAGGATTTTAGTTAGACGGTTGTCTACTATTTTCCCTAGCATGGTGTTAAAAAATCAAACTGCTTTTGTTAAAGGAAGGACTATAGTGGATAATACCCTCCTTGCCCAGGAGGTTGTTAGGGGCTATAGTAGAAAGAACATATCCCTTAGATGTGCCTTGAAGTTGGATTTGCAGAAAGCGTTTGATTCTCTCAATTGGGATTTTTTTAGTTGTTGTTCTCACTGCTCTTGGCCTTCATACTAAATTTATTGGCTGGATTTATGCTTGTTTTACAAAGCCTAGTTATTCGATTGTAATAAATGGAAGTTTAGTTGGTTATTTTAGGAGGGCTCGAGGAGTTAGATAAGGTGACCCCCTTTCACCTTATCTCTTTGTGCTTTCCATGAATGTGTTATCTAGTCCCTTGAACCAGGCTTCTCTTAAGGGGATTTTCAATTATCATCCCAAGTGTAAAAGGATTGACTTAACCTATCTTTGCTTCGCGGATGATCTTCTCATCTTTTGCAAACCCTCTATTAACTCCATTAATGGTATCAAAGTTGTGCCGGAAGTTTTCTATTTTATGTCAGGGTTAAAGCTCAATATTAGCAAAAGTGAGATCTTTGTAGCTGGGTTAATTGCAGCTCAATGCAATGTTATCAGTGAGGGCACTGGTTTTCAATTAGGCAAGCTCCCTGTTCGATACTTAGGGATTCCTTTGGTCACCAAGAAGCTTACGGAGAGAGACTGCCTTAGTCTCATTGATAAAATCAAAGCTAGGTTGAACTTGTGGGAAAATAAGTATTTGAGTTTTACCGGTAGGCTACAACTAGTGTGTGATGTCCTGTTTAGTCTAACTAACCACTGGTGTGGGCAAGTAATGCTTCCTCGGGGGGTGATCAAGAATGTTGAGCAGTTATGCTCTCGGTACTTCTGGAAGGGTGTTGATCTACCTGCCAATGGAGCTAGGGTGAGCTGGAGGTAGATCTGTCTACCGAAGTTTGAAAAGGGCCTTGGTGTTATTGACATACAATGATTGAACATGGCTTTTTCTGTGAAATTAATTCGAAGCTTATTGGTAGATGAGGGTTCCTTATGGGTGGCTTGGACTCGGTCTTATGTTATAAAAAATACATATTTTTGGCAGATGGTTCCTCCTACTAATGCTAGTTGAAATTTTAAAAAGTTGTTGAAGATGAGGTATACGGTTAGACATCTCTTTGTTAACCGTGACTGTGTCCTCAATACAAGGCAGACATGGGAGGACTTGCGCATCATGACTCAAATGGTTGGTTGGCATCATCTGGTTTGGTTTTTCGGGCGTATTCCTAAGCACAACATAATCTTGTGGATGGCCATTTTGGACAGGCTCCCCACCCGGATGAGATTGATGCGAATGGGTTTAGTAATAGAGAATGATAGATGTCTCTTCTATGATTTGGTGCTTGAGACTAGAAACCACATTTTCTTTAAATGTTATTATGCTAAAAGCCTGTGGAAGGCTATTCTTTTGCTCTGTGGCGTTAATCGAAAAGTAAGTCACTGGGAAAGTGAGCTTTCATGGGCTGCTCACTGCTTTAAAGGAAAGTCCCTCCTTACGAGAGTGTTTAAGCTTGCATTGACGAGCTATGTGTATGCCATATGGAGAGAAAGGAATAAGAGACTGTATGGTGGATTGCATAGACCGATGAGTGATATCATGCTGAACATTAAAGCTGATCCAGATTCGGTTTGATGGATGGCCAATTAACAGAAGTGAATCTAGGAACAATGCCCTTTGTGTTAGTTGGGGTATCTCATAATTGTGGGTGCCTTCTTTTTTTTCTCTGTTCTTTGTTAGCCTTTACTTGGCTGAGGGGTAGTTGTTTTGCCTCTGTTTTTATTTTTGAAAATGTTTGTTAGTAGGTGATGATGTGCTGTAAAGAGTTGGTATTTTGTAACAGAATTCTACTTTCTTGAGTAATAAAATTGATTATCCAAAAAAAAAAATTTAAATTTAAGACCTTTAATAATATTAATATTCTTTTTTGTAAATAAAAATTTAGGTCAATTGTAAAGTTAATATATATATATAAGATTCAATTGACATTTATATTAAAATTTATAAATTATCAATCAAGAATGATAGTGATATAATTCGAACTTAATATTATAAGTTTAAAATTTTAAATCTAGCCACTTATATCAATGTTGGTTGATAACATTTATTTTTATTACTAAAACGATTGTTGAATTTATCTCCAAAATAATTATTAATTTTTATAAAAATATATCGTTTGCACGTATATATTATTTGAAATTTATTTAATTATTTTAGTTAGTAGTAACAATATCCCTAGTGTTGTCCAAAAATTTTAGTTCCGTTTCCTTATATTCGCAGTCCCACTCGCGTGCATGGTCCTCCATCACGCCCCTACTGTCGGACTTTTTTTTTTCTTCGTCTAAATTTTACTGTGTGTTTGACAACACTCACATTTGAGTTTTCATTTCCCTTCCGCTCTCCCTTTTTATCCTTATTTTTATTTTGTTCCTCTTTCCTCTCTCTCCCCGGTCTCACATTTTTTTTCTCTCTAAGCCGCTCTTCTATCTTCCTTTTCTTGATAGTGTGTTGTTTTGGACTGTCGGTTTTCAAAAAACTTTCTATTATCATTTTTCTGTTGTTGTCGGAGGTTATAAGCTAGAAGATGCAACCGAGACAGAGTTTAAATATCGGCACTTGAAGATAAGAAAAATATGGTGAGCTTGTTCTGTTAGGCTTCATGTTATTTTTTTTTTGTTTAATGCTCTGCTTTGTATGAATTTTGTGTTGTTTTTCGTTTTACTCTTAGTTTTCTCGGCAGCCAAACGTTCCCTAAATGTGAAGATTTTGATGGGAGCCCCCCCCCCCCCCCCCCACTTTGACAAATCCCTTAGCTTGTTAACCATAGATTATTTCTTCCAGTTCTCTAAACTGGGTCTCTCAGAGAAATGATTATTTACTATAGAGTTATCCATAATTGCTAGATGTTGAAGAACCGTATTCTTTTGCCTTGAAGCTGTAATTTTCTCAAGATTGTCTCCTAAATATGACAGATGGTTTGAATGTTCGATTGATTGTCGATTTTCCATCTTGAATACACTGTCATTGGGCTTGTTTGTCTCCTAAATATTTTAGAAGATTAGTTTAATTAATAGCTTAATTGAGGGAGCAAATCATAGTACTAAATTGCAGTTGCGATGCGGATGCGATCTTGTGGTGACCTTAAGAAATGTTACGATGCGGCCGTTAATACTATGGTACTAATCTAGTTTGATTTATAGATTATGTAAAGACGAAAATTTTATCTGTTGCATTATGAGTGTTTAGCAGTAATTGTATGATATATCATAACTGACTAGAAAGTGCAGTGGATAGATTCTTCTACGGGCTATGACCTTTGTTATAAGTTCATCTTTAATTTTGCCAGTGGTGGCATTTAGTTCTCTCTTATCTGTGAGTTTGTTACTGTTTGATCCAACTGTTATCTGTTGGCTATTTGCAAGAACTTACTGATTTTGTTGCAGATACACTATGAGGATCATAGAGCGATGGGAAGTGGTGTTTGTCCCTGGAAATGAAGGAGAGACAACGTTGGAGAGCTGAAGAAGACGCATTGTTGTGTGCATACGTTAAGCAATATGGACCGAGGGAGTGGAACCTTGTGTCACACCGAATGAACACACCCTTAAACCGAGATGCGAAATCTTGCTTAGAAAGGTGGAATAACTACCTCAAACCTGGTATCAAGAAGGGATCCCTTACGGAAGAGGAGCAGCGTCTTGTGATCCGTCTTCAAGCCAAACACGGGAATAAATGGAAGAAAATTGCTGCTGAAGTCCCTGGCAGAACTGCTAAAAGACTGGGAAAGTGGTGGGAGGTATTCAAAGAGAAGCAACAAAGGGAACACAAGGAGAAACATAAGACGGTCGAGCCAGTTGAGGACGGCAAGTACGACAGGATATTAGAAACTTTTGCCGAGAAACTAGTGAAACAGAGGCATAGCTCAACCTTTCCCATGGCTGCTTCCAACGGGGGTTTTCTTCCTACTGACCCACCTTCACCTGCTCCAGCTTTACTTCCACCTTGGCTTTCGTCTAATTCCAACAATACTTCAGTTGTCATGCCACCTTCCCCCTCTGTGACTTTAAGCTTATCCCCCTCGACGGTGCCGGCTGCACCCCGAATCCCATGGCTGCAACCCGAGAGAATGTCAGAAACTACCCCCGTTATGGGAAATATGGTACCCCATGGATCATTTCCTCCTTGTAATGAGAACCTGGTGATATCTGAACTGGTGGACTGCTGCAGGGAGCTGGAAGAAGGGCACCGAGCTTGGGCTGCACATAAAAAGGAAGCAGCCTGGAGGTTAAGAAGGGTAGAGTTACAACTGGAATCAGAGAAAGCGTGCCGCAGAAGGAAGAAAATGGAAGAAATAGAGTCGAAGATCGAGGCTCTAAGGGAAGAGCAGAAGACCGCTCTTCATGTGATCGAAGCTGAATATAGAGAACAACTAGACGGGCTAAGGAGAGATGCCGAAGCAAAGGAGCAAAAATTAGCTGAGCAATGGGGTGCGAAGCATTCGCATCTCACCAAGTTTCTCGATCAAATGGGATGCAGAGCCAGGGTTGGGGAGCCAAATGGGCGGTGAGCAAAGCGTCCATTCTCTTCTCATATTCGATTATGGATGCCATCTACTTGTCTGAATGGAAAGGTATCATTAGATGAACTAGCTCTATCTTTCGTGTTTACCTACTAAAATATATTGAATTTACATTCCAACTCCTGGATGAAACTCTTTGAATCCGAGTTGATCGTTTACTTCTATATTAAATTTACATATATTTTAGACTTTATATAAAATTCACTCTATATGAAAAACTAAATGTAAGGAATGCAGTATTTTTTACAACTCTTTTAGGATTAATATTTTAACCTTCCATTATTGTGTTTTGAGATGTATTTCATGTTTTATTTATATACATCATGCATGTAAATCTCTTGATTAGAAATGATAATATTTTGAAAATTTATAATTGCATTATTGATATATGAATCTTATTAAAAAAATATCATAGCGTGTAAAATTTTCTTAATGTTACGCTGTTCTAAACCCAATATTTTCAACATGCATTTGACAGCATTCTTTGTTAATTTCTTATTGTAAGCTTTAATTCCAAATAGTTTTTTTTTGTTATTCTTTGTTTTTCATTTTTAAGCTATATATATATATATATTATATTGGTTACCTATTTAGCTTCAATTATATTAAATTGAGATATGAATTATATATATTAAGTTTGTACTATTGATTTTTTTAAGTAATTAGTTACTGGATAGTTTAATAATTTAGTTGTATTACATCAACAAAATCTGTTAGAGTTAATAGTATTTGGGATATTAAAAATGTATCTATCATCTATTTGGTATTTAAGAATTATTTATGTTCAACGGTAAATGAATTGTTGTTATTTTTTGAAGTCTCATGTTCGAGCACTAGAAATGTCAGATGTCCAGATTAATAAAAGAAGAAATATTTTTATTCAGTAGTCCTTGAAACTTTTTTTTTTCAAGAATCACACCATTTTATTTTATTATTATAAAAAAATCATGTATCACTCGAGATACCACATGAGACATAATAAATATTAAATTTTAAAAAGTAAAAGTTAATAAAATATATTTAAAAATAGAAATTAAGTAAAGTTCAAGGTCAAAGTGAAGGAAAAAAAATCTTCGAGAACCAAAGTGAATAAGATATGAAAGTGATAATGAAGTACAATTATAGGGATCAAAATATGAGTTTTTATCAGTAATTGTACCATCCATGCATTGTTTTTGCTGACTCCAATATTGATTGTCATCACTGCCTGTATAATAATAATAATATAGCTTTTGCGATGGCAGAAGTGTATTTTTGTATTTAGTCATTGCTTAAAAGCATTCCTCTGGCGATATTTGCAGTGCATCAGCTACTATCGTTTATCATTTATCAACAAAGATTTGCAGCAGCTAAACGAGATAAGATTCACTGCCTGCTGATATATTTAAAAGGGTAAACTGTATAGTTCCCTTTATAATCTAAACGACTTAGATCACCGGTTAAAAAATTAATTACGTTGGGTCTCTTATGTTTTCAGTTCGTTCAGTGATTAACTCTCATTAATCCCTTAACGAAAGTGTTACGTGACAATTAAAAGATCAAAAAAATACACGTGACTTCTTCTTCTTCAAGCTCGTATGACTCTATGACTGTACTTAAACCTGATAAAGAAAATCAAAATTGAAAAATATACAAAACAAAAGCTGATGCAGCATGCTTACCTCTTATCTGGGTTGATAATGATTTTGCGTGTGAAAGAAAAAGTGATGCGACATGGGTTATGAAACACATTTGTTTCATTTATTTTTTGTTTTATTGATTAACATAACCCATTAACCCTCATCATCATGTTTCATACACAAGTCAAGTTGTTCTCATGGCAATACTAGCTTTAGCTATTGGAGATGATACAATATCTAGTCAAGTCAGACTCGAGGCTATTATAGATGTTTCATCTTGCTTTCTCATTTAACGGATCAGTGAATTGTAAAGTCTTGTTTTATTACAATGGGGTACGTATAAGAAAACACAACTTTTATTTTTCTACCTTACTGTCGTTACCAGTGGCGGGAAAAGTGATGTGAATAAATGATTTTTAAAATGATTTGGGAGTCGC